CTGTATAGAAACTATCAGCAACAAGGATGGATGAAAATGTGACAGTGTAGCTGACCATGCCTTGCAATTTCTTGCTCTGATTTTCATTCCTTCCTTCTCAGCCAGGAAGAGAACCAAGAGCCTGGGAGCCTGTTGCAAATGAAAATCCTGAAGGGATTTTTAGTGAGGTAGGAATCAGCCTTTTCTCCCAGGTAAAAAGCGAGAGGTCAAGAGGGAATGACGTCAAGTTGCCACAGGAGAGGTATAGAATCAGAAAAAAATTATAGAATGGTTTGGATTGGAAGTGACCTTAAAGATCATCCAGTTCCAACCCCTCTGCCATTGGCAGGGGCACCTTTCATTTCATCAAATTGCTCAGAGCCCGATCCAACCTAGCCTTAAATATCTCCAGGGATGGGGCATCCACAGCTTCTTTGGGAAACCTGTTCCACTGCCTCACTACCCTCACAGAATCTTTTCCTAATATCTAATCTAAACCTATGTTTTTTCAGTTTGGAGCCATTCTCCTCATCCTGTCACTACACGCTCTTGTAAAAAGTCCCTCTCCATCTTTCATGAAGATTTTCTTCAGGTACTGGAAAGCTGCAATTAGGTCACCCCTAAGCCATCCCTTCCAGGCTGCACAAACCAAATTCTCTCTGCCTTTCCTCACAGGAGAGGCTCCCCAGCCCTCTGATCACCTCGGTGCCCTGCTCTGGGCTCGCTCCAACCCATCCATGTCCTTCCTGAGCTGGGCACCCCAGAGCTGGGTGCTGTGTTCCAGGTGGGATCTCTCTCACCAGAGCAGAGCAGAGGGGCAGAATCCCCTCCCCTGCCCTGCTGCCCACGCTGCTTTTGCTGCAGCCCAGGACACCTTTGGCTTTCTGGGCAGTGAGTGCCCATGGCCAGGTCATGTCCAGCCTCTCATCCACCAGCACCCCCAGGTCCTTCTGGGCAGGGCTGCTCCACATCCCTGCATCCCCCAGCCTGAGTGGATACTGGGGTCACCAGCCCAGGGGCAGCACCTTGTCCTTGGCCTTGAACCTCATGAGATTCCCATGGGCCACTTCTCGAGCTTTCCCAGGTCCCTCTGGGTGGCATCCTGTCCTTCAGGCTGTCAGCTGCACCACTCAGCTTGGTGTCATCTGCAAACTTGCTGAGGGTGCGCTCGATCCACTGTATCATTAATGAAGATATTAAATAACACTGGCCCAAATACAGACCCCTGAGGGGCACCACTGCTCTCTGATTTCCAACAGGACTCTGAGCCCTTGACCACTGCTCTCTTGGATGCGCCCATCCAACCAATTTCTATTCCACTTAACAGTCCTCTCATTAAATCCATGTCTTTCCAATTTAGCAAGAAGAATGTTCTGGGGGGGGGGGGGTGTCTCAAAGGCTTTACAGAATTCCAAAAAAATTACATCTATAGCCCTTCCCTTGTCCACTGATGTAGCTCTCCCATCCTAGAAGGCCACTAGACTGGATATTAGGAAATATTTCTTCACTGAGAGGGTTGTTGAGCATTGAACAGGCTTCTGAAGTGATTGAGTCACCAATGCTGAAAGTGCTCAAAACAAATTTAGATGTGAGACTGAGGCATGGTTCAGTGGTGAAAATGGCAGTGCTGATTACATGGTTGAACTCAATGACCTTAGAGGTCATTTCCAACCTTAATTATTCTGTGATTCTATGGTACTTAGTCTGTAAAATAAAATATAAAAATATAAAAAAACAAAGTGTTTTTCTTATTTGTAGATTGTCTAAGCATTTATTCTACTTATGTAGAAGTAGTGATGTGGAAAGAAGGATTTACTAACTGCATAGGTAGAGTGAAGTTTTTGGAGGTTAGCTCCTGTATTTAGAGCTTCTAGGCTTTTTCTTCTTCTTACTGAGTTGGAGGTTGAGTCATGTTTGCTTCCAAGCTGTTTTCTACATTTACAGTAAGGACTGATGATTCACAAGCCTAGAGGTGTTCTGTCACACATTAAAATAAGAAATTAGAAAGATTTCTTTCTAAAAGAATATGTGTTAAAAAAAAAGAAACATATTCTCTTTTACATAATAGGGTAACCAAGAAAAAAATTCATAAAACTGTCTCTAATTATTCACAAAGTTTTGCCAAATTAGTAACCTTGTTGAGTGCATTCTAATGCACTGAAATATGTCAAAGTTATTTCATAGCTATGTTGTTTACTGCTGATTATCATCTCATGCCAACTGCCTTGGATAGTATTTGTAAGAAGAGTTACATGATTGCTAAGCGATGACCTGAATATCTGGTTTTGGCAGACTATATTAATCAAAACAATTTTTTTCAGATCATCACTTTCTGACAGTATTTAAAACATGTCTTTCCACAGCAATTCAGCAAAACGTTTCACTCGCAGTATAACAAGCAAACTTGAAGGAAGTCTCAAGCATCTGTTTTTAGCTCTAGGTAGAAATCTACTTTTTTTAAAGTGAGGTTCTTCTTGGAATACTGCCTATAGAGAAATGCCAACTTCACACACCAGAGGTAAAAATAAACTACTCTCATTGAAAGGCAGTGCAGAAATGACAGAGCTAAAAGAGAGTAAATGAATTTCATGCCTTCTTTATGAGCAGCAAATTTGCCATACACTTATCTAATGAATCAAGCAGCTCCTGGTACAATCCATGAGCAACAATTCAGAGTGGTACAGACACTATGGGGAGATTCTGTGAAGGCAGTGGGATTCCACAGTGCACAAATCTGACACGAGTGACAGAAAGTGAGAAAGAATTGAGCTTCAGTCCTGCATACTGACTGGTTTTCTGGATATATCTAGTGATACAGTCACATATAGTCACATACCTAGTGGTTATTTTTTGTTTTCTTCTCTCACAAAATGAGTACTTTGAAACTAAATTACGAGCTGCAGAGAATTTAGTGTTTAATGAATATACATTAAAAAATTGATTTCCGAGATGCTTTACATATTGAGCTTTGATTGCCAGATTCCTGACCAAGGCTAAACAAACTGCTGCTATTCTAAGACTTCTTGTTGATAGTAATTAACTAAAGTAGAGTCTCTTAGTATTTGGGAGCATTAAGAAAATTAAGGCATGAGCTTCCTCTGGTTTTCAAAGACAATGGGTACCTAGCTTAATTAATAATTTTTGAGAACTTTGACTATTTTTCTTCTGTGCAAAACAGGATGATTTTCAAAGACATAAAATGAATGGGGATTAGATACGAAATTGCTGTATGAGCCAGGAAAATGTGTCTCTACAGTTTTAGGAATGAACAGTGGTTCTCCTTTAGGTGTTATAAATGGCACTGAGTTTGGAATTTCTCCTTTAGAAGTTTGGAAAAACTTCTGATTTTCAAAAAATGCTGAGAATATACTCTGTGAAAAATAATTTCTCTGTTCTTGAGAACAGAGGCACTGGAGACAAAATGTTTTACACAACAAGGAAATTAATACCACATTCATGAATTCATGCATCCACAGAACATAACAAACAGCCCTAACAACTCATAATTTAAATTTGTTCTCCCTGGATACTCTTCTGGCTTCAGTTTCTCTAGGCAAGGCTCAGACTGTGTCAGCTGAAGAGGAAATTCTGGTTATGCTGGTGATTGAATGCCATTTTCTCAATGATTCACTTTCTTCCTTCTTCTGGACTTCTGACAGGATTTCTATGTTCCCAGAAATCCACAGAAAGGCAAGAGTAGGTGTACAGAAAATAAATGCAAATAAATGCAAAATTACACCTTTCATCAGACTTCAGGCTGTTTTGAATGAATGTTCAAAGCAAACTGTCCTTATCACAACCGCAACCAAGTTTACTAACCAGTTTCACCCCAATTGAGGGGGGGTGAAAAGTTGTAACTATCACACAAAACTTATTAAAATAAAGAACAAAAATAATCACACATAGCTTAATCCAAAATCCTAATCTATCTCACAGAAATCACAGCATCATAAAGACACAGGCTTTACTGCCCCATGAGATTTCAGGAAGTCATGTACCTCTGAGAAAGATGGTGGGTTATTATTAGCATTGCAGAACAGGGATGGATTCTTTCTCTATATGAGTTTTGGAAGATCTCAAACTGTTAAACACTGAATGATTACCAGATGTAATTGAGACAAGACGTACAGGTAGCTCAGTAAAGGAAAGGAAATAAAGGCTGAAATGAGGAGACCATTTTTTGAGGCAACAAGACACAGTGTAACACCCTGGACTGTAGGGAAGTGTCAGGCATTGATGGAGGAAATCAACAGGGGAAGTGTTCTTGCTACTGTGGACAAAAACATCTAACAGAGCTTCCAGAGAGCAAAGAGACTGGCTCCATGATAGCTGAAAGTTGAGTTGTTTCTATAAAGTAATTAATAGTATTTGATCTCTCTGAAACTCTAAAAGCTAGAGAAAAAACAGTGGGTACTTCAGAATCTCTGTTTCAAATTCACCTGTCACCAAGATCATCTTTCTCTCACAATGTTGCTATACTATGTTAAACAGTCCAGCCATAAATTAAGACAAGGTTGATTTTTAGAAAATTTTATTTCTATAACAGGGAAATACAAAGTTGCCCAGAGGAATCAAGTATTAAAATCCTGAGAACCATATCAAACTGTATTCAGTGCTTACTTTTATTGTGCATTATTAGTGTAAAGCAGCAAATATTCACAGTTCACTAGAGAATGAAAACTGAGAAATTTGAAATTCATTCTGCTTTCTTCTTTATTATTTTGTGATTCTTTTTCAAAATACTTCGAACTGTAGTGCTCTCATACTGCAAATGTTGTGGGAACATCCCCATTAATGGATACAACATTTATGCTCCACTGGCATAAACACTATCAGTAGACTACAAACTATACTACATGTGACTACTAAGGTCATAAATACAGGTCTCCCATCAGTTTTCCACTCCAACATCTCATCCTTAAGTATGTTTGCATTGTTGTGGCATATTTTAATATTGCATAGTTCTACACAGATAAGGTACTACTACTTGCATTGCTCTTGCAAATGGCTACATTATTCTTAAATGGGTACTGTTACCACAGTAAATCTCATAAAAATAGATATATGTCACATAGATCATTAAATGTCTTGAATATAACAGTACTCTTGAGTAGCATTTTGTTTTTAAGCACTACATACAACCTGTGAGCTTGCAAAACCTCTTACATCATTATCAAGCTTACAGCTGAGCTGTAACTGTTAACTGCAGGATGTCATGAAAACACTGGAACAGAGTTCTGCACAGCACTTCTGCATCAGTCTCTGGACAGGATTTCCAACAAGAACAGGAAGTAACAATCCTACCAATAGAAAAAACAGTGAAGTCACTGTGCTTAATTGTCAGGGTCTAGGACAAAGTCACATGAATTGTCCCGAAATGTGGAATTAATGGCATAAATTCTGAAGTAAAAATGCTCACATAAACATACTGTCTCAACACTAACAGGACTCAGATCCTTAACCTTCATTAAGCAATAATGTTGACAGATCTTGAAATCAGATACTTTGATTTAAATACCTTCTACTACATACACAGAGACAAAACTTTTCTGCTTATATTTAAAAATGCTGTAAATTGTATTTCTTCTTTTTCTGCAATTAGTTTAAGGTTTTAGGTAGTTCTTTTCTATTCATCTAATAAAAGGTATATCTTGATCTAGTTCTATTTATTTAAAGAGAGCCACAGATCAAAGTATTAATGGCTTGTCTTCTCAAACAGATTTGAATGGGCACACAACCCCTGCCTAGCTTGAGGAAAAAGTCATTTGAATTACACCTAAACTAGCAATTTATCTCTACAAATTCTAACCAAAGTAGTTTTAGATTTCATAAAAAAGCAGTAATTTGTGTCCATAAGACCAGCTAAGCTGAATTTGGATCTTTTCAAATTGTATGATTTTTGGAGAAGTGAAGCCAAATGTTTTAGCCTCTCCGTGTCAAAAACGTCTGGTTTGAGTTAAGATGTATGTCACTGCCAAGAGTGATGGGCAGTGTGCTCACGTGTCCTCTTATCTGCTCTAGCTCAGCCAAAAAACACCTTTACATGATACAAATGATCTCTAAAATGACAGCCTATTTTTAAGTCCTTCTGTTGCTCCCTTCTTTCACCTTCCCTACTCTTTATTTCTGCTTATTGTCAGTATCTTGGTGCTCGCTTGTCCTCCACTACTCATTCTTCCTCCCACACATGCTTTCCCAGAATGTCAATGCCTCTATCCTCATGTATCTCACTTCTCAATCTCTTCTGGCACATTCAGCCATATTTCTTCAGTATTTTCCTGTCCTCATTCTAGTTGCTAGCCACCTTTTCTTCTGTGACGAATGCAGAGCCATATCCAAAATGAAATTATATCCTTACCTGTCATCTCTAATTGAATAAAAAAAGCCATAGCCATGTTGTACCATAGGAAGTGCAGATCCACTAAACCTAGTGTAGCCAGTCAGACTAGTTGAAAGGACAAAATTCCCACCTCCTCCACTGTGAAACAACACAAAACAAAAGCAGCACTTTTAAAAATAATTTAAAACAAAGTGAGTTTTATGGAACAGTTATTTTGTTGTATAGATCAAGACATCAGCACAAAGGCCTTGGTATCAAGAGATACATACAACTTCCCTTGGGACAAGAAGATGAATTACCTGGCTGTGAAGGCCTTATCCCCATACAGTTCTGGCACTGGCAGCCCTTGCTCCTGTGCTATGAGCAGGAGACCCAGAAGATGACGATCGAAGCCTGTCAAATAAATGCAAATACTGAATCATTAACAGCAGTGTTCCAAGTTTTTCTGCTTCTTCTGGTCTGGATAGCTAGGAGCTCTAATAGCAGTTGAAGGACAGATAACAACAGCATCATATTGTAGCATCCAAAAACATTTCCCACATATTTGATCTAAGAGGTCTTTCACATGTTCAACTTGCAGCACTGAGCTCAAAAGCAAATGACTTAAGTAATTAGGGATGCAGCACAGTTCCTGCGGAAAACAAAACCCAAGGAAACTCCCACTTCAGTCAAGGAGGAAGATCTCCCCACACTGGAAGTGGCCCATGGGCAATGTCAACACAGCAAAAAAGCTTTCAGGGCCACAAGTGCTCTGAATTGTGTTAACACACCAAGAAGGCTGGAGAGAGTATGAAGTTCATCAGGTTCATTTCCCAACTACCCTTTTTTATTCACAGAATAGTGTACAGCACTAACACAGCTGGGTTAGAATCTCACCCAAATCTCACCTGTGTCCTAAAGACCACCTTTTTCACTTTTCAGCCAAGCACATATTCAACTGGAAGGTATTCCAAAGTAATGTTTAACTGGGCAGAAAAAACCCTGAATAATATTCCAAGTGAACATATTTCTGGGGTACAAGGATGGGACTAGTTCTTTCCCCCAGAATTAAAGTATAAAATGTTAAGAGGTAGTTTTTATTCAGGTTGAAAATAAGGAGACAGAGAAAATGTACTAGCATACAATGATATTCCCTTTTCAAACACATGAAAAAGACCCAAAAATGTTGACCCAAGAGTACCTTTTCCATTTTCACATTCCTTCCTCATTTTGTTGTGCTTTGCAAATGCCTTATGCATTAGTTGTAGCCGTTGATAATTCTGTAAAGTAGGACAGAGACAGGATTAAAAAAAAAAAAAAAAGAAGAAAGAGAAAGAGAGAAAAAGAAAAATCAATACAAATGAGTAACACATCACAGATCAGCAGGTTTTTTGCTTTCATAGTTTCTAACAATTTTAGATGGAAGAAAATGGAGGAACTTGAAAGCTACATAATAACCTCTCTCAAACCCTTTCTCCCAAACCCAAATTCCCTTTTCAGGAAAATGTGCTTGTTTGTTCCCTGTATCTCTGTTCTCTTACTCAGATTGCTTTTGAACTGAACAATATTCTGAAATGCATGCTCTTTCCCAAATAATCTGAAACAATGGAAAGGAAACATCACTCAGGAACTAGTGATCAAACCCTAAAGCCTCCTACAGTACCATTTATTCAGGACACTAGCTCCTACGAGGTGCATTCCCAAATCCTCTCTGCTGACTGCCAATTCTGCCCAACATTGTGGTTCTTTCAAGCTTCTATTAAAACTTGTATATTAAAGTCAGAGAGAATGCAAATAACATGGTTTTTGTAAAAGAGACCTTGAGAAACTGTCCTAGATGATCAACATCTTGACTTCTAAGACTTATCCTTTTATTCATCACACAAGAGGCTGCAGCAGACAATGTGAAACAAGGACAGCAGCCACTCGCTTTTGATAAAAATCAAGCTACCAAGAAGACAAGGGACAAAACAAAATTTAAGACAAAAGGATTATTTCAAAGCATCTGACTTTAAGGTATTAAAAACTACATAAAGGCAGACTTCTAAGCACATTAATTTCAATACCACTGAACAGATCTTTTTAAGCTCCAGGAGTTAGTATTAAAAAAATCAAAACAAAACAACCATAGGGAGCTATCTGGAGATGCTATGTAACATTACAAAGAGAAAAAGGCTACAGTTAGTGATGAAAGTTATGCACTGCTAGTAGTAGCAGTAATCACTGAAACCTGGTAATTGGTTAGAAGGTAACTGAGGAGCAGGGAAATAACAGGAATTGGTATTTGGAATAGAAAAGCAGATTTGGAAGATAGCCAGAAAGCTGAGTTTTAAAACTGCAGTGTATGCTAAAAGAAACCAATGAAGACAAGGAAAATGTGCTTTTAAAGGTCAGAATTATTAATTGTGCATGCTTTCTGACAGCTGTCTTCCTCAATGTTTTTCAGATGCATTAATAATACAGAAACTTTGATTTTTTTAAAGATGTATTTCCCTTTGTCTCAAAAACCTTTGCCTTGCCTAATTTCTCAGGCTCTGAGAAATGTACAGCAAGGGCAACAGAAAGGGCTTTAGTAGAGCTTTTGCTTGGCAAGCAAGGCATGATCTGCTTTGCCAGCCAAGCACCAGAGGGTAGTTGCTGGGGAAAGAAAAGATCTCTGGTTCAGCAAACTCTGGAATACGCTCCTGTTACCACTAAGACAAACATCTTTCAATCTTGCTCTCAGATGCAACTATTAGATACACATTTCCTGAGTTCACTTGAAAATTAAAACAACAGAACAGCAGAATACTTTGGTTCCAACCTAGTAACTTTTTGAGTTGTGAAATAAATCAGTGTGAATGTAATTCGAGACAGTTACATTATTGAACCCAAAAGGTAAATAACACAGAAAACCCAGCCAGCCCACAAATGACAGCACATCTCAGTCACAATGACCAGAATCAGAGTTCAAGCCACCCAACATTTGAAATTTGTCTCCCTGGAAAGGTGCCAACTCCCATCAATGAGACAACAGAAAAACAAGTTTGAAGTGGTTCAGATGAGAGGCCTTGTAAATACATAGTAATTAATGTAGGATTTCAGTATTTACACTGTCAGAAGGATCCAGCATGGACTTGCACCACTCCACTGCTTCCACAGTACATGGCCTTATGGTCTCTGTGCGGCCATGATAGAAACGTCTGGTCATGGCAGTTTCGTAACAGCAGCCCGGACTAAGAACAAAAATTAGGGAAGAGTGTCTCATTAACTTAACAAAACTATTTTCTATCTCAAGGACTAAAGGAGTCCTGCAAAAGATCTTGCACATCCAGCTCAGTTACAAGTACCAGAAACCCATTAATTTTTTTAAACTTATATTTCTGAAAAAGAACCACAAAGCAATTCTATGTGCTTTTATGGGAGAGGTGACTGAAAAAAGTGCTAGTACTATAATCACACCTTGAAAAGATTGCATTGCCATGGATAGTTTCTAAGGACTACAGATCTACCAGCCTCTAGCAAAAATAGCTCAAATTACACAAGCTTTAGTTTCATGGTATACTTCCACCTACACCATCCAAGCCCTCATAAATTAAGAGACACATTTGAAATAAAGCAGTGTGTTCCAAAGCATTTAGAGGGAAAAGGTCAAAACCTTCTCTGCTGCATACTGACAGCCATCCAGTTTTTACATGGACCAACTCCAGCTCTATGACAGTCTACCACTTAATAGACAACCTCCATGAAACACACTTGCATGTTTACAACAGACCAAGGCTATTTTAGTCAGATAATTAGCGTCCTGATGTTCAGCAAACCAAGGTCTAACAACCTTTGTTATAATGAGCTACATCTCACCAGTGACTAAACATCACACTCCTATGATGAAACCCTCCTCTTTCTGAAGCAAGAAATACTCTGCTGGTTAGTAATGACTTACACAAACCATACTGAATACTAGGTAGCAAACAGAAATTTGGGAGCACCAATACAAGAGTAATACCTTTTAATCAATAATACAGAATTAAATGGCAAAAACAGAGAGGCAGGTACTTGAATGGTCACTGTCTCCACCCCTATTACTCTGCCCAAACCTTCACATCCAATATTGCTCAAGAAAAAGACACACTGAAGTTTGTGAGGCCTTTTACAGACTTAGAAGACTAAACATTTTACTGATGACTGTCACATGCTACAGACAAAACTCTCTTTTACATTTAGGCAACTATTTGACATTAGAGAATCCTGACCCACTGTGCATTTTGTGTTCACCCAAGTGTTTCCTCTGTATGGCCCAAGTTCAAGTTTTCATGGTCTGTGTTCTACCATCCATTCCATAATATGTATATGTATTATCCCTATGGGCACAAGAACACAATTCTTCTGAAGCAAGTATGGCTCTATGTCAAAAAGCCCTTAGTTCTTCATTCTTACATCTCCATGGCAAATTACATACTAAGGTTGCAAAGCCACCACACACCTCTACTCAAGAAACTAGTTTTTATTCCTAATCTAGTATTTTCTTACCGTCCATGGCATTTGTAATAAGCAAGCTGAAGAGCAAGCTGCACAAATGTATCAGGATGAAGTTTCCTCTTTCTAATCAATGCTTTGCCAAAGGATGTGAAGGCGTAAGACACCAGCTGCAAGTCAGACACCTGTCATCCCAAAGGAGGAAAAACAACAGAAGTCAAGAAATATCACAACTTGGTCCACTGCAAATAAAACACACTCAACATAAACCACAACATAACAAATTTAACCATGGTGTTAAATTCATCACTTAATCAGTAACATTCATTCCTGTTTTCCAGCAGGAAAAAAGACCAACTAAAAATATGTAAATAGAATGAAAAAAAATAGTATCAGTAAAAACTAAGAGAACCAGGAGTAAATTTCACCTTCTTGTAATACATTTCTTTAGTACATCCAATTTCATTTATTATTTTTGGATCCACTGTGAATACAAGTTCCTCTGGCAATGGAATATCCCTCACATTATCTGATCCCTGGAAAGATGAAGACAGAAAGAAAGACACAAAACCAGAAAATGTTATCCATAAGAAAAGACATGTTAACTGATGAGTGTGAATTTTTATAAAGGATAGATACCTTCCATTTTCCCTCATTTTCAATAATCTTCTTTTCAGCAAAAGATAACATGGTAATTAAAGCCATGGCATCAAAAGGAGAATGCTAGAATCAAATAAGAGAAGATATTACATTACTTTGCATAACAGCAAGAAGATCAAACTCTTCCACTTTTTTCCTTGTGCTACTCTTTTTCCTGTGGACCAACAGCTTTACTGTGCAGTGTTGGACTTGTTTTATAGTTCTGCAATAAACATAGAAATATTCTAAGTCCACTCACAATTTTAACTGCTCCACAGTTAAATGTACTACTGCCATGAAAAGGCAGGTTTAAAGAAAAATATAAGCCCTTCTGGCCATGCAATAATGAGTTTAAAATAAAGTAAGTTTAAAAAACACAGCTGTTTAAATGGATACATCAAGCAGGGAGTTAATTTTAAGCCTTCTTGTGCATTGTATTTTTTCCCTTTGGAATTCCTCATTAAATACTTTCAGAAATAAAATTATGACTTCAGATGCCATTGCTAATTCAAGTATGGTATACTAGAGAACACCATGAGAGAGCAAAGAACATGAAAAAGCAGATTGCTTTTGGGAACTTAGCAGAGCAGGTGCCAGGTAAACAAGGCTATATTAAAGAGTAACACATTAAGCACTTAAAATAATACTCTGAAGGGGGAAATTCAGTAAATAAATACTCAGAAGATGGACAAAAATCAGCTTACATCACAGAATGCACTACAGGTTCCATTGGAAAAGAATATGCTGTTGTAGGATTTATCTCCCCAGCGCACAGTCGGATCACCTGTTAGCCCCAGCCTTGTAAGCTAAAACAGAAGAAACACACTGTGAAGTCTCAAAAACACCAAGAACACTGATAATCTTTGTAAGCTAAGTCTAGTCTACTTTAAGATGGCAAGACCTCCCTAACACATGATATCTTCATCCAGTTCAAAATGAAACATGATTATAGGGCTAACTTATTAATTAGAAGTGTGATAAAAAGTTAATGTCTATGTCTTTGAAGATCCCAAAGGATAGAGAGCTAAAAATTTATGAAGGTAGATTTCAACCATTCCCACTTACAATGTCCTAATGATGAGAACTATTTAAGTTTCCCTACAGGAAGTCCTTTTTTTGCATATTTATCTGCTTCATTTTTACAGTTCTGAAAGAGCAAGAGGAGCTGCTACTTCTGTATATATGCAGGAGAAATTTTTATGTAAAGATGACCACATATGAATTATCAAAAATTCTTAGTTACCTCTGTGTAGTCCTCAGGAGTTGCATGGGGACTAGAATCATCAAGGCCAACCACAAACAAACTTCTCTGAATTTTTTCCAGAAGAGTTAAGTTCTTTGGATCAAGATGAATCAAATATTCCCGTAACTAGAAGGCATAAAAAGACAAACCTAAGTGAAATAGTATTTTTCCAGTGATCACAATGCTTTTCCCAGGAATCAGCTGCTGAAGTATTCCTACCTCTGCCCATTTTGTCCTTTCATTGCTTGTTAGGGCTGCCAGCCCTGGTCCATCTGGTTCACTATAGCATCTCTTCTGTATATACGTAAGTTGCCTTTAAAAAGATTTCAAAAACTGAAGTTAACAACAGATGGAGACAAACTAAAAGTTACCTTGCATCTCTCTCTCTCTTTTTTACAAAGCTGGAATTTTGGGTTGACATTCACAAGCAAATGTTAATTTTCAGGAAGCATGAATCAGCTCCCCTAGATTTAAAGACAATTGAAGACCTGCTCAGCTTTCAGTCACTCAGAACCTACGAGCCTAGTACAAACACACATAAACAATCGTAGTGCAGAAGCATTATTACATGCTTAATTTAAAATTAGATTTAAGACTTTAACAGGTTGAAGACTCTCAACAGGTTGAGACTTTTCAGAGCAGCAGACACCTGCTATACTGCAGCTTTTACAGTAACTAATCACATACAGGGCAAACTTTCCCCTCAAGATAAATCTTAAAGCAGAACACTAGCTACAGTACATCCTGAATGTAGAGTCTGAACTATACAAGAGCAATTTTCTTCCTACCTTTTCCTTTAGAAGAAAAATTAACAGAGGGGTAAGCTTTAGTTTGCAAATTCAGTTTTTCATATGCTGTTCACAATGTTAAAGAAATTCCATGAATTACAGGCATTTAATCTGGCTTGTTCTTCGTTCTGGCACTCTTGCCTATTAAATTCCACTACTGATCAATAGTTACATAGTATCAAATATATAAGACACCCATTATGAGGTTACAAAAATTAAGCCAAACAAAAAAAAGCCCCACCAAACCAAACTCAACTTGCCCTTCCTACAGACAATAGGTTTAGGGGGTTTTGTCTGTATTCCAAGTGCTCATTTTTTTGTTACTGGCTTTACTTAACAGGTACAACTACAAAAATTAGAAATGGCTACGTTAAAATATTAGGTATTAAAGTACCAGATTATTTTTAAAAAGTGATTTCTAGCCTCTCTAGTTAGGTTTGTATTTCCTGAGGAATTTGGCCATCCACTTTTTGCCAATTTTAGTTACAAGCCTTCTGTTGTGCACTATAAGCAGCACTTTGACAACTGCATTAAGTTATTCCCTGTCAAAATTAACAACCCTTCTTTAGTAAAGAGATGCATATAGATCCCCAATCTACAGACTTACGTTGAAACTACATCTGTATGTAACAGAACAGTTCAACACATGAGAGTGCCTCAACTTTGATAATGATTAAGTAGCACTGCGGATTGTACATGGAAGGAATTATGACAGTTGTAATCCTAATTCCATGTAAAGAAACCATAAAAAAGGTATTTCCTACTGAAGTATCTTCTTTCAGCCCTTCTGTATGATGCTCTACACATGTGTTACAGTAGTACATGGGAAAAGCTGCCATCCACTGAACAAGGATTTATTCAAATCTGAACCTTTCAGCTAAAGGAGAAGCTGTAGTCTCTCTCACACCTAATTCTTTGGGGTTAAAGGAATGGAAAAAAAAAAAGCCTCTTTGGTATGTAGCTTAAATAAGACAACTGATTTAAAATAAACATTTTGAAAACCTGAAAATCTCTGGAGGAGTCAGCATGTTGCCTTCATGCACAGCATCAAATGCAAATATCCGACCTCGACACAGGACTATCAAGTGAGATGGACATTCACCTTCAGCCTCTGAAACGAAAAAACAGTAAAATAAATTAAAAAAAACCAACCAGTAAATAAATAAAAGTAAGTAAATAAATGAAAATCCAGCCTTGGGGATAAAGTAACAGATACAGAACAAACCCAGCAAGTCCTACAGACTCTTTTTTGCTCAATTCTACAAACTTGAAGACAGTTCAAAGGCCAACATAACTTTCATAAGACACACACAACTTTCACTGTTATAAACTACTTCAAGTCATTTTCATCTAGGAGCAAATTGCATCTCTTGTAGGCAGGAACTCCCTCTGCTGAAATGAGTGTTCCTTGCTGAATCCACACAGAACACACAGAATTTGTCTTTCATCAATTCTTAATGCTGGTATGCTTATTATAGGCATCAGTCTGGTAACACACAATTTGAAGCAGAGCACTCTTCTACTCTTATTTGATAAGGACTAAACATTGGACCAAAGAGGGCATTTGTAGATGAGATACCTTCTTTGCTTCATTACATAAACACTCTACAATCAGTAGCTGATTTAGTGCTCAAGAAAGCAAGAATTTTATGGTTAAACTGACCAGTCCTTTAGCATATTAATAAAAATAATTTTCAAATTTTCATTTGTTTACCAGTTTTAAAATAACTGCTGAGAGAGTCTCTGGTAAGTCCAGGAATTTTGCAAGTGCAGAAGAGCATTCGAAATTGGTTCATGTCCAGAACAGTATTCCCAGATCTCTCTATGGCAACCTTCTCTCTGTAGTAACAAACACAGCAACATTAAGCAAGAGACATTACAATGATGGCATTAAATCAAGGGAAGACAAACCTGTCTATTACAGCAAAGAATGCATGCCAATGGACATAAACACGCATATGCAATTAAGGGACACACAGACCATCAATATGTAGGATCAGTTATTTTTTCTTAAAGACTTACGTTCGTAATAGATCCCAGTATTTCAGGGTGTGCCATATATTTACACAGGCTCTGTCTATCTGAGTGCCCTCTTTTGGTGGCCAACAGTGTTCAATATAGGGACCAGGGCCTCCCATGTTACAGTGTATTTGTGTTGAGATGCGAAGATCAAGATAAGCCACATTCAGCCACCAGTCCTCCAGCTGAAATGAAAAATGTTTAACATCAGAACTTATGTCATTCACTAATCCGTTAATAATTATGTGACTGTTTAACTGCTTTTTACTTTTTTAATATTCTGAATCGTAGGTCCTATATAACTCAAGGCAGAACAGTGGCTCAAAACTAACTGTTAAAGATACTGACACATTTAGCTCCTCTGTTTTCAAGCCTGAAATAAAATTCAACACAGCTTAAGAATTTTAAACTCTAAATTATGGTATTTCTTTTCTGACAGTCATCGTCTTAAACTCTTGCAGATCACAACTCAGTCAGTTGTGGCTGCTGTGAATCCCACAGACTACCCCATGAAGAACAGAAGGAAACTAGACTTGTGTTGAGAAGGGATCTGAGAGAGACAGTTCATAATGTACATTTTCTGCCACCATCTGAAAATCCCCACTTTGGAGTGTCTTGTTAGGATTTAGAAAGCCCTCATGAATTCCACTTGGTAACGCTCTTCCTTGTATCTCTTTCTCTGTTGAAAGATAACTTTTAAATGCTACCGCATAGATTCCTTATGGGAAGAAAAAGAAAGAAACCAAACTCTGAATTCCAGGGTTGGTTTTGTTGGGTTTTGTTTGTTTGTTTGTGGTTTTGGTTGGTTGGTTTTTTGGGGTTTTTGTTTGTTTTTGAATTTTTTCCAGCATGGAGAGAGAAGGCACAGATGTCATAGAAGAAGAGAGTGACAGATAAAGCATTCAAAAGTTGGCAAATAACTATAAATTTCAGTTAGTGAGCTCTCTTAGCCACTCAGTTTTTAAAAGAACCAAATGACATCTATGTAAGTGAAAGACTTTATAAGCACAGGTCAAGTGGCAGATGTAAGGAAGATTTGAAGATTTAAAATAGTGAAATGATCCTTTGAATTACATCCTGAATAACCAACTTTCTACAAGTTGAAATAAGACCTCTTATACTGAATTATGATTTCTTACATATCTAAATACGCACCCAATTCCTTCTCATTTTAGCTCTTTCCAGTAATTTCTGATGCAACTCTTTTCCAATGCCATTTTCAAATTTTTTAACTATATCCTCGGTTCTTTGATATTCTTCTTGATTTAGAAATGGCTTCACTGTAAAAAGAAAATGGTTTTATTTTAAAGACAACTGTATACTAAGATTTATTCCAAGATTCAGATATCCACAAGCAAGGGAGTGAATGAAAATTCATTTTTCTAAAGCAAGTATTTGAAGGGAAAACACCTCTTAAATGCCTCTCAAATATCTGTATATAAATCAGTATGTACTAATAAAAGATAAACATATACTTTTAAATAAATACAGATGATAGCAGACTAAAGTAATTGCTGAAAAGCTGAAATACCTAACAGATAACTAAATCAAGTATATTTACCTCTGCAAAGACTATGCAGTTCTTCCAAGTAATTAAATTTGCAGGAACTTTGTAAATTAGCACATTGAGCATACATGTCTGCCACCCTACTGCACCAACTACAAGCTAGTTGCCTGTATTTTCAAGTCCATTAATGGTCTACAAGCAACTTGCCCACCAATTCTCATTCACTGTCCCTGTGTTATATCCACCTTTGATTGACAGCAAATGCAGTTACTGGTAGACAGTTTTTCTGTTTTTAAATCCTTTTGGATTTCTCTCAGATCATGTGCATTATAGGCCAAAGTCCTCCATAAACATCTGCAAAACTAATTGTTATTTTAACCTAAACACTCCTTAAAGACTTTTTTACCATGAAATCTATGGTAAACAGCCACTGCTGAAGTCTTTCCATACAGGCACATTTCATTTCTTTCTTATACTCACCTGGCATATAATGTATTTTCTGTTATATTTATACTTAGATTGTTAAGTCAGTGGGAAACAGAATGGAGGGTTGTGTGTGAGGTGTGTTTCTGGTGATTCAGTGCCTATACAATGAGGTCCAAGTAATTTTTGAGGCTGCTGGACACTACCATTAGTTTATTTCTTGTTTGCCTTGCTACTGGTAACCCTATAATGGACTTATACCTGTTAAGAAACAAAGCAAGATACACAATTACAAAAATTCAAACAAGTATCTGCATCATCTCTTATCTTTTGCAAGCAGCAACCAAGTTTCAGCAGGGCAAGGTCTCGAACACTTACTTAACCTAAGTATTAAATCTTAACTCCATCTTGCTGCAATCATGCCTGCTTGCCTGCAACCACTATTTTTCTCTTCTTCATAAATCTAGAGATTAACTTGTCCAACACTTCATCTCAGTAGGGTCAGTTGCAGCAAGTTGCTTAGGACTGTGTTGGGTTTTAAGTATCTCCAAGGTTAAGACTCTACAACCATCTTGGAAGCAGCCTGTTCACTGCATGACCACTGTTGCAATAAGAAGAGTTTTCTTATATTTAAAAGCAATTTCTTGTATTTCAGTTTGTGCCCATCACCTCTTATTCCGTCATTGGATACTACTATGATGTCTGGCTCCATCTTATTTACTCCTCCACAACAATTAATCACCCATATTGCAAAGATCCGAGCAATTCTAGCTTTGTCTGTTTCTCTTCACATGTCAGATAATCCAAGCCTTTAATCGCTGTCATGGCCCCTCTCTGGGCTCACTTAAGTATGTCCATCTCTCACTTGTACAGGGAGCCCAGAAACAGACACAGAACAGCAGGTGTGTCCTCCCCAGCACTCAACTAAGGGAAAGGATCATCTCTCTGTACCTGCTGGCAATGTTCCTTCTATAAGGAGCTCTGAAGACTACTGACATGCCTTGCTGCAAGGCCACATGCTGCTTCATGCTTAACTTCATGTCTACCAGACCCCAGAGGCTATTCTGCATCCAGGCACTAGGCCCTATCTTGTGCTTCTGTGGCAAGTTATCCTCTCCTGTTTGAATGACTTGGCATTTCCCTATGTTTGTTGAGCTTCATGAGGTTCCTGTGAGCCTGTTCCTCCAGCCTATCAAGCTCCCTCTGATGGCATAATAACATCTGGTGTATCAGCTACTCTTTCCAGCTTTGGAAGCTCCTAAACTCAGAGTACACTCTGTCCCATCATGCATGTCCCATCACCACTAATGACCATATTAAAAATTACTGGACCCTGGTCTACGCCATCAGAGACTGGCCTACAGCTGGCATATGTGTTGCTGATCACAAACCTTTGAGTCCAGCGGATGATAAAATTTCCAGCTCATCTGACTGTCCTCTACCTAGTCCACACTTTGTTAGTTCATCTATGAAGATTTTTAAAAAAAGCTTTTGATCTGCCAGAAGCCTTGCTGAAGTCAATATACTCAATATCCACTCTTTGTCCTTCATCCAGCGAGACAGTCAGTGAGACAGTCACCTCATCATAAAAAGCTACCCTGTTGGTTAAGCAAAATTTCCTCTTCAGAAACCCATGCTGCCCATTCCCAATCACCTTCTTGTCCTTCATATGCTCAGAAATGGTTTTCATTATTATTTGCCAGGGATTCCCAGGAATTAAAGCAAGATTGATCAGCCTGTAGTCACCCAAAACTTCTTTCTTGTCCTTCCTGAAGACAACAGTAACATCTGCTTTCTTCCTTTCCTCAAGAACCTTCACCAGTAATCATGATCTTTCAAAGATTATCAGAAGTTGCCTCCCAAAGACAAAGACTAGCTCCCTCAGCACTTGTGGGCACATCTCAACACAACCCACATAGTTTTTCATGTCAATCTCTTCAGTGCTCTTCTATCAGGGGTAAGTCATCCTCACCCCTCTTCAAAATAATTCCATTTTAATCCTAATTATGTAAAGCATTTCAGTATTTTGCACTACCTGACCTAAGGTGAAAGATAAGGATCCATTTTCAGATACATCCTGGTTTCCTTATGGTACTCCACAACAATAATGCAAGTCCTGGTGATAGCTTTTTTATTCCACAGGAGAGACATGGAGAGTGAGGGCCAAACATTACCTAAAAATGTGGTTTTAAACACATCCTGATAATCCTAGGTAGCAAGACAGAACATCTACCTTCAAGTATTACCATACAATGCTTATGTTTAAATTGCCAATGGGACCTCCAAAAACTATAACACCATCACAACTGGAAAGGTACCAGCATTCCCCTTACACTCCCACCAGAGATGATCAGCTGTGGATATTATCTAGACCTCATCTAGGTGCAGCTTGAATTGCACACCATCAGTTGTGAACACAAATGAAAAAAAGAAGAGCAACAGAGCCATTCACCTTTACCCTGCAGACTACAGTTTTCACCCTGAAGTTGAAAGCCTTCCCTGACTGAGGGTAGTGCAACACTCAGATTTCCTAGAAAATGTCCTTATTATCATACTCTATTGAAAGAGAGGATGATTACCTTCTTTTATTCAGGTTACAAAGTCATTACAGAGCAATATTCACATAGAAAATGAAAACCAAGCAAAATTATTTGGTTCTGGTCTCAATTCATAGAATCATTTAGGCTGGAAAAGAGCTGTCATTAGTTTAGCCAAACCACTAAAGGAGTCACTAAGATTGCAAGGGGACTGGAATGCACAATGACATGAGGCTGAGAACTGTGTTTGTCGAGCTTACAAAGAGAATGCAAAGGAAGACTTTGCTGCCCTCTTCAACTGAATGAGAAGTTCTGGTGAAGAAAAACCATAGTTCCTCTCAGAGATGTAAAGAAATAAGGTAAGAGAAAAATGGAATAAAGGCGGAATACAGAAAATTTCTGACACTGAAAATGTGAAGTTTTTTAGAGTTTTTGGTTATTGCTGTTTTTTTTGATTTGTTGGTTGTTTTTCTTCTCCCTCCCACAATCATGAGGGTGACCAAACACCAGAACAGATTACAATGAAACAGTCTCCACCCTTTTAAGTAAACAAAACCTGACTAAGGAAGGCCTGAGCAACATGCTGTAGTTGGACCAGCTTTGGGCAGAAATTTGGTCCAGATGAACTCTTCACAATCTACATGATTCTATGACTACAGGGCCTCTTTCCATTTAAAAACTATTTAATCAGATGTAGAAGCAGCACTGTTAAGGAGCAGAACTTGGCCCATGTCCCACCAGACTTCAGTGAAACTTCTCTTGCATTTCTTCAGCCTACAGATCTTGTCTTTAGAAGATCAGCTCTGCCCATGGACAAGAAGTATCCCATGAAAGATACCTTCAGCTGCATAGTTAAGAATCCCTCTGGGAAGCTGGAAGTTTGAGTTTTCATACTTTCGTGTTGAATCTATGTTCCTGAATCTCAACCTCTGGGCTGGAAGGCTAAATAACATGGTTCTGGCCACCTTCTCTGCTTAAGGCTTACTTTCAGAACAGGGTCAGTCCTTAAAGAAGAGGTAGCAACAGTAAAATCTTAAATAAGGTATATTCTGACACATACTTTGTCCAGCTTTTCTAGTTGGCTGGCCCTAAACAGACAAGTACTTTACCAGCAGGCACCCTGACTAATGTCTTCCTCCAACCAATGAAAGGTCTCCCAGGACTAATTTAAAGCCTCTATGAAGAATCATTTGGAGGTTCTGAATTGTTCTTCTGAAGCACCTCTTTTCCTTCACTCACATTTACAGATTTAAATGACAAGCTTAAGCAATTAAACTCACAAATTTAAGTCTAGAACTGTACCCTGCACACTTTGACGTTAATGTATTTGTACAAGGGAAGATTGTGGCAAACGATGGGATAACTTTTCTCCACCACCAGTGAGACTAAAGAAGAGCAACAGTGATCAAAATTATAGAACGAATTTGTACATGGAACAGCAATCAGCAACTAACTTCAGCATGAAAAAAACAAAGGGACATGTGATAAGGTATTTATGAAAACAGAATCAGAAAACAAGAGCAAACAAACTCACTGTCAGATTTTCTCACTCCATAAGAGAGTTATTTATTAACCTGGAGAGACGGATGGGTTTACAAAACTAAACAGCAATTTTGTTATTGCAGGCTCTACTCTTGCAGCACAACTTTAATTAATTTGCATTGCAGCCAAAAAGACAGTGCATTATTTTAGATACACATACACACACAACATTTTTGCTCAAAACCCACCACTTCAACATTCTGCATCAAAAAACAATGATGTAAGGAATGCCAAAACAGGCCATTTCCAGTACTCAGAATAAATGGGAACTCTGAGTAAACTTCAGGAATTCTATTTAGGGAAAGGGAAAATTTGGTGTAGTATGCTTCTGCTAAGGAGAGAACTCAAAGTTTTACTTTCTTAGCATTTGTGTAATACCTGTAAGATGGCAAAATATAAAGTAGATGATCGAGGGAAAAAAAATGCATGTCTCAGAGTTCTGAAAAGTATTGAAGAAATGATCTCAAGATATTCCATAATGTATTTTTGCCATTCCCAATATATAATAAAGAACTAAGCAGTCATTTCTTCATTATAAACAAAACTGCACATTGATGTTGTTTTCAAAACTTTTCTGTTACATTCTTTAGATTAGTCAACATGTCAAGGCAGAAAATATCCAAGCTAAATTATGTGAAAATACTCACCACTGCTTTTTCCTACTACTGTATAGTTAAGAAGTATTCTTTCTCAGCAATATTAAGTATGAAAAGTTTTAAATAACTGGGGTTGTTTAAAAGATTCTGGGCAAACAAAGTTATAAACAAGCAGTTATGCAAACCAGAATTTGTAAGTGAAGTAACTTTTACCAGAACAGCTTTTCATTTTTTCGAGAAGGAAAAAAAAAGGTTAAAAAAAACAACTACTCTCAAACCAAAAAAGTTAAAAGGTTAACCTTCCCACATGCCAAATTCCCTTGAAAAAAGGTATTAGGGATAAAATGGAAACTTTTACTCAAGTTGCACTGGGCACTTAATTTCCAGTTTAACTCCTGAAAAAGACCTTTGGCACTCTAAGCTTGTCTATATCCCACGCCCCAATTACAGTACAAGCTGTCTCTACAATCACTTAGCAAACATCTTCAGATTAGCCTGGTTACAACAGCACATGACACGCTGCCATTACAACATTAAGTCATTACCTGCATCAAGATATTTACTCAAAGATTCATGAAGAGGAGGTACTGGCAGGGAAGGCAGAGAATCTTGGTACTGAAATGTTCGTTCCTCTGAGGATTCAAGCACTTGCTTTTCCATGTTGCAGCTCTGCAGCACAACCAAGCAGACTATTCACGAAGCCCACGTTCGATGACGAATCTCCCCACACTGCTCTCTCCCCCGCTCCGGCCTCCTGCCATTTACACGGTAAAAGACAGATATCAGGAAACGTTCCCCGACAAAGCACGGACAGAGGGTTTCTTTTTGGCTCGCAGCCACGAGAGGCACACACACAACAGGGGGAAACGACGACCAGGCGGCTTTCCCCAGCATGCCGCGATTAACCAGCTCGAGGACTGTCGCTTTCTCTCCCATGAATCAGCCAGTCAGCCCTGGGACACAGCCCGAGACTAGAGGACATCTGGGGAAAAGGGAATCACCCCCCAGCCCGATTGGCGGCCCTTCCGAGTCCCCCTGCAGACCCTCCCCAAGGTCCTCGCCCGACCCCCGGCCGTATCCCGACCCTAGCGCCCCCCGGGCCGGCTGTGAAGCCCGCGACACCACAGCAGTCTTTACAGCAGCTCAGGGCCCGCATCGAGAAAAGCCCGGGAGAGCCCCTGGCGGATGGGGCCTGGGCGTAAGGAGACAGCCGAACCGAGCCCACCCCTCGCCCCACCACCGCGCACCCCAAGGAATGAGGGCAGCAGGTTCCATCACTCACACCAGTCCCGGGTCCCTGCCCACCTCCCCGGCCGCCGCCCTCGCTCCTGTCCCAACTCCCAGCGGGTCCGGAAGCCGCGCGGG